TTTGCAAACCCAAGAACATTAGGAAATGAGGCTCAGAATGAGCTAGTCATCATCTTCTTCTCCTTCATCTTCAGAATCTCGTTTCCTCTTCTCCCCTCGAAGACGACCTTCTTCTTCTTCTTCTTCTTCTTCCTCCTCTTCTTCTTCCTCCTCTTCTTCTTCTTCCTCTTCTTCTTCCTCCTCTTCCTCTTCCTCCTCTTCCTCTTCCTCCTCCTCCTACTCTTCTTCTTCCTCCTCCTCCTCTTCCTCTTCCTCCTCCTCCTCCTCCTCCTCCTCCTCTCCTTCTTCAACATAGTCATCATCATCTTCTTCATCCTGGATCTCTTCTTTCATTAAGTATGAGAGGCCTACTTCCTCCTCTCCCTCTCCCAGTTCTGAGCCTGCTTCCTCATCATCGTCATCTTCATCCTCATCTTCCTCTTCTTCATATCCTTCAGGTGGCCCAGCTTCATCTTCTTCTTCATCCTCATCATCTTCATCTCCATCTTCGTCATCATCCTCTTCAGATGTTTCAGGTGCTTCGTTATCCTCCTGATCAAATCCATCTAAGTATGTAATTTGCTGCAGCAGTTCAAAAATACTTTCTCTATAATCTTCCAAGTTTGTGATCTCACAATTAAACAAGTCAAGACTTTTCAAATTTTTAAGATTTTGCAGAGCTTCTACTGTACTGAGATCTTTAATTCTATTTCCACTCAGATTGAGGTAGGTAAGATTTGGACATTTCTCTGCCAGGACTTCCAAGCCTCCAGAAATGCTATTGTTACTAAGTTCTAACTTTCGAAGTTTACTTAAGCTGAGAAGTCGAGCCAGTGAACTTAATTCCACATCAGCCATACTTAAAGACTCTAATTTTTTAAAAGTATCATTTAGGCCCTCAATTTCTCCATTGACACATCTGCAATTATCAAGGACTAACTCTGTCACCTCCTCCGGGGCTTTGTTCCTTAACTCCAGGTTAATCCTCTTCTTCATCTCTATGTCCTCCACCTCCTCTTTTGCCACTAGTCTCCTCCCTTCCTCTTTCCTGCCTTTCCTCACCTCCCCCAACCCTAAAATTTAAGGTTTGAAAATGAATGAAAAGATACGCAAATAAAACACCAACCACCACCAGACAGGTTTAGGGGAGGGAAAAAAAAAGAGAATCGTAAATGGAGTCGAAGGAGTTGATACTCTAACTCCACTGCCCCCACCTCCTTGTCCACACACTCCTCAGTGCTTTTTTAGAACATGGTGTTATGCAGTATTTGTCCTTTTGTGACTGAGATATTTCAGCATAATGTCCTCAAGGGTTACCCATATTTTATAATATATTATGAATCCTTTATTTTTCAGTGCTGTGTAGGATTCAAATGTGGGACTATACCATAGTTTTTCTATCCATTCTTTTTTTTTTATTTGTACTTGGATTGCATCCATCTCTTTGCTAATACTGCATTAGAACAGATGAAGGAAAGAACTGTTTAAAATATGATTAAGCATTATATGTACAACAACTGTCCAGAATAAGAGGTACATTGCAAAGAGGACTGGGGTTGGGGGTGGGGGGTGGGGGATGGAAGGTTCTTGTGAAGCAGTGAACAAATATTTTTTTAAAGTGAACTAGGGGAAGGGGGAGGGAGGGAGAGGGGGTAAAATGTACAACAATGAATGAATGAAAATGGAACTTTTCTGTAAACTTTCATTAAAATAATAATTAAAATAAAAAATATTTCTTTAAAGAAACAAACAAGAAAGAAAAAAACCCAACCCAACCCTACCTTTTTCTCAATAGGGTAATAGACTGTGGAAAAAAATATTTGGCATTGACATCTCAGACAGAGTCTCATAATGAAAGTTTACTATAGGGCTTCCAGAAGAAAAAGACTGGTAACACAATCACAAAGTTCTCATTATGCTGAACATGATGCTAACTCAGTCTCCTAAGGACAAATATTGCATAATAACAGTACTGTAAATGTAGAACGATAACTAGTAGGATGTGAATAAATACACTCTATAAGTATATTCTGCATAAAACCTTCAAACTAATTGCCTTTGAGTCACAAAGGCTCTCCGTCCCTTGGGTTTCTGAGGCTGTAAGTCACATGGGAGATGTTGGTGGATTTGAATAGCCATACAATGAAGGCCTTTGGTTTAGAAGCACAGCTCTTTACAGACGATGACGCTAGAGCTATCTGTATTCTGCCTAACTTTAATTTCTACTAAAATAAAATTTTTGCTACTAAACAAAATCAAGAAGTTAAAAATTTTTTATTACTGAAGTGCTGACACTGCTGGAACTTTTAACAGTAAACCTGTTTCAGAGTGACGTTTATACTCTATCAGAGGTAGTAAAGGGTAGTAATCCTTCAATCCTACTCTGTTAAATTGCAATCCCATAAAATTACAATGTACAAATATTTGTGCCACAAAGTATTTAAATCCATTATAAATTTTACTTTGTCAATATCTATTATGTACAAGGAAGTATGATAAAAGTCCTTGGTGTCTTTTGAGAAAAAGAAAGGTTCTTTTAGGTTACTTCCAAAAGTACAAGAGTTTGAGTGAATGATTCCTATCAATGGGCATCCATTTAGATCTTTTCTTTTTGGGCAGGTTGTTGTTGTTGTTATGTGCCGTCGAGTCGCCTGCTACTCATAGCGATCCTATGTACAACAGCCCTAAACTCCGCTCTGTCCTGTGCCAATCGCACTGTCTCCGACACTCCCATCCCAATTACCCCAGTCACTGAATCAATCCACCTCATAGAGGGCCTTCCTCTCCTGCGCCGTCCCTCCACCCTCCCAAGCATGATGTCCCTCTCTAAGGACCGGTCTCTCCTCACAACATGTCCAAAGTATGTTAGACGGACCTCAGAATCCTTGCCTCCAAGGAGCCATCCGGTTTAATCCTTTCCAGGACAAATGTGTTTGTTTTCCTAGCAGTCCATGGTATTCTCAATACTCTTCTCCAGCACCACATCTCAAAGGCATCAATTCTCCTTCTATCCTAACATAATTTTATTTTTAAAATAATATAGTTCCAAAACTAACTAGTAGTGGTGCAGGGACACAGGTTTCTTTGTTGTCCTCAACATGTGGCTTCAAATAGCTGGAGAAGGCGATCATGAAGATGGCATGAGAGAGGTCTTTATAGGCTAGGTATGAAAGCAGGCCTTCCATTCTTCCTGTCTTCCAATAGCTACTATTAGTTTTACTGGCAAATCTGAAACAGCTGGTGGATGGGAATGGAGTCCACCTACACACCTAGCTGAAGAATTATTTGGTTAGCAACAATCTCAGCCATACATTTTATTGGAAATACATGTCTTGAAGCTTGATTCACAGTTTGATAGGTGGTAGATCTTTTCTTTCTCCTCTGGCTTTGTAATGATACATTGCTTTCTTCATCATGCTAGCTTTCATGTCATCCCCCAACTCATCTGATCTTTGAGCATCATATCTATTGAGATAGTTTCTAAATTTAGGTGGTATACTTTAGGTCATATTTTAGTTCTTAGGGACTTGTAGTTTAAAAAAAAAAAAACCAATGTGTACTTGCATGTGAATAATTAAGGTGTGCCTGATCCAAGGCTAGGTCTTTTCAATTACTTTCTCTGCATCTGAAAGCTGGACCATGAACAGAGGACAGAGGAAGAATCGATGCCTTTGAATCGGAATGTTGGAGAAAAGTACTGAATATTCATACCATGGCCAAAAGAACAAATAAAGCTTATTTTGGAAAAGAAGTTCAACCAGGGTGAAAGTTCTCTCACATTATTTGGGGCATGTTGTCACTAGTCCTTGGAAAAAAGGTGTCATGCTAGAGAGGTGAAGGGTCAGAGAAAGCTATGAAAACTTTGCACAAGGTGAACTGACACCATGACTGTAAAAATGGACATTCAGACTTTGAGAGGATGATGCAAGATAGAGCAAGTTCCAGATCCTAGGGCCGCGATGAACCGAGGTCAACTCTATGACACTTAGAACACCTAGAACACCGAGGCAGAAGAATCACAAATCAGGCTTTTGTTGATTCAAATTCCAGTGTCCCTGATCGCCCGCAAACACCCAAAGGGAAGCTCGTTTAAAGAAAACTGGTAAGGTTTTCAAGGGTTTGGATTTGTCCTAACGCGAGACTATGATTCGATCATACATTCCGCAACCCCCTCCCCGCCTCCAGCTCGCAAGGAAAGGCTAATTTTATCAACGGAGCTATAAACAAAAATCAAGGCATATCTTTTGTTTTCAATCAGACTGTTCCCAGGCGAGTTCCTTGCGCGGTGCTGTTGAGAGCCAGCTGAGGGGTAGAAATAGAAGGTGGGTTCGAAACCCAGAGTTAGAGCCCCTCTGGGGCTTACAGCCCTGGAGGGAATGTCCCCCAGCGGGGAGCCAGCCGCATGCCGAAGTCCCTACCCAAACGTGGCCTGCGATGCACAGCCGTGTTATGCTGCAGGAGTCACTGCTCAAAAAGAAGAGCAATGCCCTGTCCGAGGTCTGGCTGTGCTTTTTTTTTTTTTTTT